AGTATCAGTTCCCGTAAAAATGAGCATGACTGACAAGGTTGTCTGAGAATATTTATAGAGGTCTGTGGTTGACAGTAGGGTAGGAGACATTTGATATTAATATGACTGAAATTGGAACAGAATGTCCTATTAAAGCAATGACTCTAATGGTGGTCCAGCTTATTAAGCACAGTGCATGGGAACTTTATGTAGCTATATAATCTAGGTCCAAAGAGAAAAATGAAACAATGAAAAGCACAGGCCTGAAAAAGATTATAGTTGAGTTGGGATCACAGAATGCATTCAAAATATGTATTCAGAAAACGTGCTCATTACATAGAACCGATATCCACTCACCCTCTATTCGGGCTTTTATGAAATACTCTCCAGGCATCACCCATGTTGGAATCATCACCCTCCTGCCAAGAGGCCCCCCAAGGTTATCTCTTAAGCATTGGAACATGGGAGTTAGTTAGCATTTGAAAGGAAGCGACCCAATCTCCCGTAGCTGTTTCTGTCCTGGTGTCCAGGCTGAGAATCGTTCTACCGTGCACACTGATTCGGATCAGCAGGGTTTCTTCTCTGCAACTTCTCAGTCTTTGCAGCTCCACCATTTCTGAGGTGCGACTCTCTCTTTTCTCACTGGGATGTGCCCCCCCCGACATCCTGCCTGGGTCTCCTCCGGGATTCACCAACTTGGGGAACCTCACACAGAGGTCAGTGTTAGCTTCAGAACCCTGAAAGTTATTGTGCTTCTCTCTTTATTTTTCAGTACCACGATCATGAGTCGTGAAGGTGTCTCCTTGTTCTCTTCTGAAAAGTTCAATAATTGGTCCGCTTCTCACTATGTCGCTTGTCTGTCAATCACCAAAACGTCCTCATTGTGGCAGTGGTCTCAACTGCTCTTCCTCTATAGGAGCCTCTGCACTAAGAACCCATATTTCCCCTGGAGTAGTTTACTAAATTGCAAGTATGACTTCTCTGCCTACAAATCCTGTTGGTAAACCTTCCATGTCACCCAGAGAGGAGTCCAGGCTCCAGTCCTTAGTCTCTCCAGCCTGCTCTTCCTGCTCCTTTCCCTAGCTTGGATTCACCTCTGAGATTTCACGCATGCCCCTACTTGTAACACTCGGGCCTGCAGAAGAAAGTCCTCCTACAGGCTCCTCTGGCCTTTCCATGTGGCTGCACTCACCTGCGGCATTTACGAGAGTACCTTTTATTAAGTTGCTTATATTCCAGACAGAAGTGTACTAAGGGCAGAACTACTTTTGCCTTGCCAGTCTCTACGTTTAATATTTCAGCTGAGTGGAGAATGCGTGGATGTCTTCCACGACAGATTAATGATGCCGATGGTAGAATCTCAGCAATGCCAGCAAAGTATGACGATGACAGCCTGCAACATGGCTGCAATGATCATCCTAAGCCAGAGTTAGGGCCCTGTGTTAGGCTCTCAGTGTTAATCATACCACTGGGTCAGCATGGCAATCCCAGTGTCGCTCCTGTCACCGTTTCTGCTTTAGGGCTGAGACTCTGAGGCAGGGCCACAGTCTGTGACTTGCCAGTGACTACTGACTCATGTGGTGGGGTGAGGGCCAGCCTGAGCAGGGCCCTGCGGTTACCTTGGGCCTACATTGCCTTCACAGTGCGGACTCTGGCAACAGGCGGTGAGTTTATGAATGTTACAGATTATGGACATAAAATTTAAAGTAGGGGGGCAGAGATAAAGGGAGCTTACATAAGTTTTCCAAAACTTCACCCTGCTCTTCAAAATGGTTCTCATTAAGTACTTCATCCTTTGCAAAGAAAGGCTGTGTTTTCTCCAACATTTAGGAAAGGGAGAGTATCTGGGAAAGTCCTCCTGAGGGGGAATTTGGCAACGTCGCTCCAAGTCTTCTTCGACCTACACGCTGCCTATCCAGGTGTTGCAGAGCAGGTGTCTGGAGCCAGCGTAGTGGCAGAAGTCCCTCAGCTGGCCCACTAGGTCCTCACTGCAGGCCTGGGACAGACTTTTAATTTTGTGGACTGTGTGCCTTACAATCCGTTGGCTTTTCTCCAAGTTTCTATTAGCATGTTTGCAAGCATAATAATTACATTCACCTCTAGGAGCTGGTAAATACTGTTTCTGAATGATTTCTACTTCCCTTTGTCCTCCACAGCCCACAGTCCTCCTCCTCAGATCCCTTTTCACTTTTCTTTTATCATGAGTTTTTTTCTGCACAGCAACTTCAACCTGTCATATGAGAGTTATTTAAATCATTTGTCTTTAATGATAGGAAGTTCATAAAGAACTTGTTAATATTTTAGATATCATTTTAGAGAAAATAAATATATTTCTTATGGTTATGACAAAGCATTTCAGAAAAAAAATCTATGCACGTAATGAAAGGCAAAATTTGAAAATGATTTGTAGACAGGCATGGTGGCGCATGCCTGTGATCCCAGCACTCAGGAGTCTGAGGCAGGAGGATCACTGTGAGTTCGAGACCAGCCTGGGCTACATAGTGAGTTCCAGGTCAGCCTCAACTACATACTGAGACCCTGTCTCAAAAAACCAAAAAAAGAAAATGATTTGCATACATTTACAAATAATTTAACACAATGCACAATCAGATGCTTGAGTCCATGTTTATACTGTGAACACTAGTGAAAGAAGTGCCCAAACTGCCTCGTGTGTCATCACAAACTCGCGCTAGAAGAGCTTTCATAATGGTGACACGTGACGGGATGAAGGCTGCGGGATGCTGCTGAGCGCGTCATTGACAGCTAGGGACCTGTCTATTTAACACAGCGGCCCCACGGATGGTGGCAAGTTGCATTGCTTTTCTGACTACGGCAGTGATAATAAATTGCCCTCTGTAATATTTATAAAGAGTTCATTTAAATTGCTAATAAATGCCATTTTGGAATTGAACATAAAACGCTTGTGTGTGCGTGTGGGGATCCTGGAGTTACTCTGGAGATACACAATGTGTGCAGCAAAACTTTTTGTTCATTAGGAGCTCTTACCCATAGTCTAACACCCTCAGCAGTGATGTGAGAGGAGATGACTTACAGGATGTGCTGTAATCCTACACCCTCGCTGGGGCTAAGGCAGAGAGGGAAGGGTGCCAATGTGGGTCTGGGTGTACACAAGAACGCTCTTACTCTAGGTTTACAAACCCAGGGACCTGCAGGGCCATGGGCAGTGACAGGCAGAGATACTCTGAACCATCTGCAGTAGATGGAGGAAGCGGAGCCCCACGTGCCCCAGGAGGGACCTCCGGCCAGACAGGTCCCAAGGGCAAAGGCGGGAAGACACTAAAGGGGAAAAGAAGAACTGCAGGTGACAGGCTGAGTAAGAGACAAACTGGTTCAGAATTGAGCAGATGTTCAGAAAATAAATCTTATCTAACTTACACCATTAATTTTTTTTTCTGTTAAAAATGTCTTGATCACGCGTGGGTGTCAGGTCTTCTAGTAATCACTGTCCTGAGTACCCACACGTTACCTTCCACCCACACATAGAGGTTTTGCAATTTTATGGGATTCCAAGGGAAAACAGGCTTACCTCATACTGGGTTGCATGCAATACCGGGCTTGGGACTTTATTGTCTCCTAGGTGAGCACAGCTCATACAAACCTCAAAGAAACCTCACTCCACTTCCCAGAGCTCCTTTCACACTCTTCACTGTCTTAGCTGTTGTTTGCTATGAAATTTTTAGGAGCAATATTTAAATATTAGGCATGCACACGATGAACTCTTTTCATATACTATAAACTTGCTTCTTTCAAGCTGTTTTCCAAGAAGTTTAAAGGAAAATGGAAACACTGTTTTTGTCTGAGTATTTTTCATATTAAGAGTCCCAAGTCAGTTTTATCAAGTTCCTAAATGCCTTCATGAGCGAGGCTTGGGTCAGTGTTAACACAAGGAAGTTGCAAATGCATTTGCTAGTGAGTTGAGTTTTCTAACTACTTTGATAAACCCCAAGGTTATGTCCAAAAACCCAGAGCTGTCTCTACTGCAAAGCTGCTTTCTTACAATATTATTTATGACTGAGTCCTCTATCTCTCTCCCCTGGGTCTTAAAACAAGCAAATAATTCACACGATGTGGTGATTGTAAATGATAAACTTTTATTCTGAATATACTGTTTTTGCACAAGATTTAACACAACATTTTCCGGGATTATAAATATTTTTAATAACAGTATTGTACAAATTTTTACAAAATGTTTTTAATGAACAGGCTAGTTAATTTCCACAAAAACGTCAAGAGAACATAATGGGGGTGGGGGGGGAGATCTGTTGTTCACAGAAGCCACTGGGCCTTTTGCAGGGATGCACATTGAGCGTTTCGTTAAATGAACCCCTACAAGTGTGATCCAACCATCACACAGCACAACACACAGGACAGCTTCCCCGAGCCACACTGCAAATGCAATGTATGAAGCATCTATCCAAGACAGGGGCCCATTACTCTCAGCGGAATTTCTCCGAGATAAATTCTTAGACATGAACAAGAAGTAAGGTAGATGTGACAGTTGGTGAGGGCTTTGTCTCATTCTTCCAAACTCTAGAAATTGCCAGCACCCCATGCTTTTGCTTAGTAATTCGCTCTTTACAGAAATGTATACTGAATATGAACGATATTAACAATTCTGCTACAAGGAACAATGCAAGGTCCGGAGAATTACAAAATGTCGGAATCTGGGCCAGGTAAAAAGTCACCAGATCCATTTTCTCTCGCCAGATTAGACTCTATGTCTTTCGACATTTTAATGTCAGTTAACTTATGGATGGAATCGCTTGCGAGTTTTAAATTAAGACAGAGAATTTAAACTTTGATGAAGACAAGACAAAGCTTTAAAGGAGATGCAAAATTACGAGAGAGAGAGCATCAAATAAGCAAGTAACACTTGGATGGCAAAGGTCACTTGAAGGGGGCGCTGCCTATTTGAGCCCCGTAAGGCCAGTTTTAAAGTTAATAAAAGGAATATTATATATAGGACACTTACGAATGGCAGCAACACTGTTTTGCTTTTGTTTTTTTGTCCAAGTTAGTCAGTAACTCCTCAAGCATTAGAAACATGAAAAAAGACCATACTAAAATCTTATAAGCCCAGGACCTAAAAATCTCGTCAATCAAACTTGCTAACTATGTCATGTTAAAAACCTTTTACAAAGTGGACCATGACTGGCATCTGGCAGTAATGCTGGTTGTTCACACAGAGAGAAGATAAAGAAATGATGAATGGAAACCTCTACCCCATGACCGAGGGCAAACCCAAGACCCACTGTAGTGTTGTTCCAGTAACATGCCACGTGTAGCTGCACCAGCACAGCTAAAATCCAATACGTAATAAAGGTTCAAGGGCCTTGTCATTGATCTCACATACTGCTCAGTCTTTGAAAATCAATATGAATGTCAAAAGTTAAGATTTTTGTCAACAGAATTAACAGAAAAATAGTAAATTTAATGTAGCAATTTGATGGGATGAGTGCTATTGTCTTTTGAAAAATGGAGTGTGCCAAACCCAGGATGGCTAGCACTGATTCCGAAAACAATTTATAGTCCAAGAGCAAGTTCTTATCCAATTTTCTACCCTGTGGGTGGCTGTTATGCTACAGAACGGTGATCAAACGGGGCCCTGCCAAGGGATGCTGAGGTTAAATACGATTAACACAATAATAACTCAGCTGATAAAAACATACTATATAAGTGACACGGGCCAAGGAAACATATTTAACGGACTTTAAACACAATCTTAAGGTAGTTTGTTGCACGCTGGAAGCAGTTGATTGTTTTCATGTGAGTCACTTATTCACATAAACAAACAATTTATATTGTTGATATCCCCCTTCCCAGCATGTTCATGATTTAAAATTCTAGCAAAAGTTAACAGTAAAATTTAAATATTTAATTAACAAACAACATGATTGAAACATAGTGTAACTTCTTTGTAAATCACTTTGGTGTTCTCTAAAATGTCAATACAAGTTATGAATAGACTAGAAAATCACAACAATGTATTAGAAATGGTAACTGACGTCAACTCTTAGAACAATAGTTGGCAAAGTGATTCCATTCCTCCCTCCCCCCTATTTTAAATTAAAAAAAATCTTATTAAGGAAGTGTCGCAAATGCTACTTAGGACACATGAGTGGTATGAGGCGATTATAAATGTATGCAAAGCTAAAACAAAAAAATGTATCTTAAACATTGCTAAAGAACTGGCTATAATTTTGATACATGGAAGATAGTGAAGCATGCTGGGTAATATAAATAACATTGATGTTAAAATTATATATAAGAAAATTTCCAGCATATCCACACACCAAAATTTGGCATGTTTGAATAAAGAAAGATGCATTTTATCATAAAAAAATATCTGCATACTTTCAGCCTCCGGTAGAATTATGTACTTTTCCTAGAGTTACACATTCACTGTTTTCATCCTTTCTTCAAATACTGTTTATTCCTGAAAATAATTTTAAAAGCATAAATAATATTTTGATACCATATTAATCTATAATGAAATATCTGCTTTACTACACTATTTACTCATTTTTCACCAATGAGGCTGTATAAAAACAAATATCATTATTCACGATCAAGTGTTCATGTGCATATATAGAGATTCAAGGTTTCCCGTTTGTTCAGACTGTTTTAAAACCCTCATCAGATGTCATGGGATTCTGGCCCAATGATCACAGCTTCGAAAATGGAGGACAAACAGAGCGGGGGTTGTCCACGCTCCTGTGAAATGAACAAACAGGAAACCTACGATGTAGCTTCGTTGAGAACATACATGTACTCTTCAAAAAATAAATGTGTTAAATCTGATTTATGTACTTAAAATATCTGTACATAGGTTTTCAGGCAAAAGCATGAATCTGTATAAAACCCGTTCATTCTCATTTCGCCATTACCTACCCTTCATTCCACATTTACATTGTACAGTATATTCAGAGCAGTTTAAGGACATTTCTAAAGATGAGTTAAGTGCATTTACACGGCAAGTTTCAGATTCTTACATGACAATAATGTCACTCAGGTAACTTTTCAATAGACTACACTCTACAATAAGAGAAAAACAAACCAAAAAGTTAAAATAGCAGCAGGAGCATCATGCAAAATACCCTTGGTGCGCCAAGTTCATTTATCACAAGAAAAACACTTTCCCTCCCCGCCAACAAGCTTCTCTTAGAGCGTTTTTTAAATACCTGGCTAGCACTGCGTAACCATACTGTGAACCAAAAGAAGGAACATTACATCAGAGCTCTGTGGGGCTTACATTTATGAGAAAAATATGTCACGTATTCAAAGCATCTTCAGTTTAATAATTTTCTCAGCTATTATTTTCACACTATCAATTCACTACCCCATTTAATTGGTCATCAGTTCTGTTTTATTTTTGGCAGACAAGTTGTTCTGCATAAGGCATTTTATTCCCGGCAACATTTTTGTAGAAAATTAGCCATTATTCATACTTCAGCAGCTCAGACCACTGTTGACTCTCTCTCCCTTTTTCTCCATCTCTCTGCAGTCAGGGAACTACTCAAAGCAGGAATTCACTTTTAAGAGAAGAATAAATGAAGGCAAAATAATTATCCCCCCCGCCCCCTACAGAATTTCTTGGTAAATCTGCAGCCAGTTGAAATCCAGGTCAAAATCAAGACGTCTCGCAGGGTTCACAAACAGTTGTGTGGGGAGACTTTGACACAACCTCACAAGCAATGCAACGGCTCCCGTTCCCCGTGGAGCACACAGGGCGCTCGACTTGAAGTTTCCATGTGGCAGGGAGTGCAGCATTCACACGAACGAGGCCCAGCGTGGACACCCCACATGCAGCCACTGGGCACCCCGGGGTTCTGTGCCTCAGAGACGCCATGGGACAGGTCCAGCTTGGCTCGGCTCCACGGTGACCCTGCTGTGATGTCATCGCAGGCTCTTGTTGTGGCAGGGTCTGGAGTTGAATCGCGCCGTTTTGGTTTCAGGAGGTCACAACAGGTAGTGTCCGCTGTTGGATACGAGCCAGAGGAGCAGGAACTGGAGTCCAAGAACAGACCAGAGGGAGGAACTTAATCCAGAAACACCGCCACAGTCAGAATAATCCTCCTGGTAGAAAGGAAAGGAAAAGTGGGAATCTTGAAGAATATTAAGAGTAAGCTTTATTTAGTCCCCTTTTGAACTTACCTTATAAAACTGCTTTAACTGCAACCAAATGAGTAACACAGGTTTATTGCTTAGCATTTTGGGTAAAGCAATTTACCTAACAGCACTGGAGAACTGTGGTACATTTTAAATTGTAAACGCTGATGATTGCAAAGGGCACACTTTAATAATAAATGTTGATTTGAGCAATGTACCAATTTTTAAATAAAAAAATTGACACGATCTTGCAAATCCTCTATATTTATACCTGCACGAAATAAAATTTAATAGAGTTCCATAACTCCAGAGTATTAAGGTTTTAACAAATGTGCCCCATAAGAAAAATATATTTAATAAATAAAACTCTTTTTCCCATAATTATTTTATTTGATTTTGCAGTTGAACATTGAAGGCATATGTAGAACGTCCATCAAGAATGAAAAAACAAACACATTTGAAGAAACAACAATGAAAGGACAGAGTGAAATCATATCCAAAATGCGAAACCAAGCTAGAGAGGTCTGTGCTACGTGGGAACGGGGAATGGGCGTCGCCGTCTGGGTACCCACCTGCTGCCTAGCAACGCCGAGGTATCATGTACCTTTCGTTCCTAGCTTCCATGCTGAGGCATTTCTCATACCCTTTAACTCCCAATAGTGTAGTGCATTTCTTTTAAAATCTTCACATCTAATCATTCTTGTAACTTCTTTGTTTTATTTTATTTTATTTTATTTTATTTTGTACCAGGGACGGAACTCAGGTCCTTGTGCTTGGGAGGCAGGCGGTGCAACCACTGAGCTAAATCCCGAGCCCTCTTGTCAACATCTTTTAAAAATTCACTAATCAAAGGTTCAACTTCCAAGAGTCCAAACAGTTGATTATATAAATGAATGGATGGACAAAGCAGCTCTCCCTCCCTCCCTCCCTCTCCCTCCTTCTCTCTCTCTCTCTCTCTCTCTCT